ATCGTGCCACTTTGACTTTCCAAGTGTCAGTGATAGGGAATCTTGTCTATCCCCCTTAAATTGAAATCGTGTTTCGTCATGAGAGTAGGTAGTCATCGTCTTTTGAAAGCAATTAATGGTGGCTCTATGGGATGATAACCAGTCCATTCCTAGGATAACGTCAGAGTCTGACATTTCCATGACTCATAGATCGCAAGTTAAATGCAAACTAGAGACTCCTAGTTCACATGATTTGCATATGAGATGCACTTGAGTTTATCCTCCTAACAGTGAAGCTACACTCATAGGTATTTCTAATTGTTCAAGCTCTAGCCCCAATATTCACATAATTGTAGTAGAGAAGAAAGAGTATGACGTGGCTACGATAATAGCGTAATTAGCATAAGAATTCAAATGGAATTCGAACAGACAGTACAGTCGGATGACATGATGGTTTTGAACTTTTAATAGGGTTAAGATTATGGAGCTGGTGACCAAACTAGATATTTGAATTGAAATTGCGTTTGGCCATACACATTTCAAACCAAATACCTAAGATTCTTCACCTTGTAAGGATTAAAAGAGTACAACTGGTTTTTAAGAGAACAACATACAAGATACAATAATCAAGGCTAAAAAAAAAAAATTGCCAATTGATCATCTTAAGGCAATACTTTGTCGAATTGGAAAGGTTCAATCAAGATACAGAAGAGATGATTTTGTATTGGACAAATTTGGCGTCAAGCTAGAGGAACAGTTAGGATCAATTACGGATAGTTACTATGATTAGCATAAAGCTCGCATAAACTATGAGTCACATAACTCTATTCCTTCAAACACATGAGACTACTCCTCAATTGAGGTTAAACCTCTTCCCACCGTCCCTAGGTAATCTAACCTAGAGCTCTGATACCATGTTGTGACGCCTCAAAATTTGAGGACATCATAATAAGGTTTAAAACTTAAAGTCAATTTTCTTAATTAAGAATCCTCATCAATGTTGCCACCAAATTTACCATCATCCATTAATTTACAACACGGAAACTAAAAGTCCTTAAATTACAACTCCAATCAAATTTAAAACCTTGTCTTAGTACACGAATATAAAAAGAACTAGAGAAAAACTAGAAAACTAAAAAAATGGTTCATGGAGTTTTGGCACGCTTCAAGCTAACCAGGGTTGAATGTTGCCTTCCTACACCTCGGTGTTTCCTTTGGTTTCTTCGGTACCTGGCATAAAACGCCAGGGCAACGAGAATGCCAATGAGCGACGAGCTCAGTAATATACTACAATCCGAAAATACCCACCCCGATAATAATACTCATAAATAATAAATATCGTATAATAACAAAATAGTAAGCAGCATTTAATAAGCATAACAGAAATGCTAATAGTTAAAATAACAACAATAGATAAATAAATAAAAATGACAAATGGAAATAGTGATTCATCATAAGGAAAATGCATGCTTTTCTTTCTAATTTCTCTTAGATTCAGTTTATCAGGTAAATTTAAGTAACTCCCCGCGGAGCACTATTTCCACTCAACCGCTAAGCAATGGCCACGGGCAATTCTGACTCCCCCTTGGTCAAATATTCAAATGTTGCTTACTGTAACTACCAATGATGCTCACGCACCAGGGTTACGTACCCGAGTCGTGACATCACGGTCTGCCCCAAGGGAACGGTCTATGTTGTGACACCCGCACCACCAACCTTATATGGCCTACACTGATAAGAGTCGAAATACCTTCCCGTGCCATGTCAGGGTTCGCAACTCACTTGCGCAAGATTCTAAACCAGGCTCACCCCATCACTTTTAAATTTTAATGTATCTGTTTGATTCCGTGTCCCTTTACTTTGTCCAATTCACATTTTGATGCATGTACGAGTTTTAGTTTGAAAACAACAGTGACATAATGTTTATATAGCACAACACAATCGTGTATGACAACCAAAATAAATATGATAGAATGTCTTAGGAATTATCACCAAATTCCGTAGGAATTTACACACTACTTCTTTCAGCACTGTATGGTAAAAAAATATGAAATCCATACCAAACGATGTTCAACTATTACGATATTTTAAATGGAGCTATTTCATTGAGTTAGGAAAATATTCCGAGAAGAATACCAGAGCTAAAAACGATTTTAAAAAGGAGAATTAAATTTTGGAAGAAAACTGGTGTTTCTGGGATAGTGAGTTATAGTACTTCCAGCACAGGTGATCTGTGTTGGAAAAATAAAAAGCGGCCTCAAACGGTGTCAAAAGAAGGTATGATTTGAAGGGCTTGTTAGATACTTGAGTTTATAACATATTTCCAGAAGGATTCGAAGACTGAAAATCAACGGAAGATGGTCAAATAATTTTTCTAAGAAAACTAGACAGATTCTGTCACATTTTGGAAAAATTGACGTTTCTCTCTCCATATTGAATAAACAATTATGAAACTAGCGGTGTTTGAAAGGTAACTTAAAAATCTAACTTTTCTGATTTGAATCACTTGAAAATTTATTCTGTGGAATAAACGGTGACCTGGTAAATTCAGCATTGCTGCTGCCTCCAAACAGCAATGAAGTAAAAATATGTATCCAGGCCACGAAAATGTCAGCTCAGGTGTTCTGTGTTTGAAAAATAAAAAGGGTATTCAAATAGTGTCGAAAAAAAGGCATGGTCAGAACGGTTTGCTAAATTTTTGAGTTTAGAACATATTTCCAGAAGAGTGTGAAGACTGAAAACCAGTCGAAGGAGGTCAAATAATTTTTATAAGAAAACTGGACAGATTCTGTCACATTTTGGAAAGTTTGGCGTTTCTCTCTCAATACTTAATAAAAAATTATGAAACCAGCGGCGTTTGAAAGGTAACTTAAAAATCTAACTTTTCTGATTTGAATCACTTGAAAATTTATTCTGTGGAATAAACGGTGACCTGGTAAATTTCGGTAAGAAAATGGTGTTCAATTATTTTATAAAAATTTTACATAGTGTATAAGACCTACATATACTTCCAGTATACACAGATTTTTAACATCAATTAATTTCAATTTATTAGAGCTCTCTTTTCACCCGATAAAGTCTAAAACAGTGAGAAAAATCTATGCTTCAAGTAAAGGGGGTCATTCTCATCTCATTTTACTCTTTTGCAAGATTATTTCAACAATGGAGAATATTAATTACATAAAAACAACAATAGCTAAGCCATATATTTATATCAAGAAGGAATATGAAACTATAGCACAATGAAATTCTCATCCTATCAAAGTTTTAAACATGCATGGACTATGTTGCTATAGATGACTTAACCATGCTTAGTCTTGCATATATATTATATAAATTCAGTTAGAGGAACCTAAGGGAGGGTAGAGGTGATGTATTCTTACTTTAGTGAGGTAAAACAATCCCAAGTGTTGGCCTTTCTTCCCTTCTCTTCTCTCCTTTCCCTCCCTCTCTCTCTCTTTTCTCAGCCGTGGAGAACAAAGCAAAGGGGCTGGATTGTGTTCTATATGTAGGAGAGCTTGGAGAATTTAATTTATTTTTATTTTATTTTCTCTTCTTTGCTTGGAATTGTCATCTACAAGTATGGGCTAGGGGTTTAGAGTATGCTTGCATGCCATAGCATGTCTTGGCAACAGCTTTATTGGGCAGAAGTCAGCCAAAAAAATTCTGACTTCTTCTTCTAGCTTAGGCACTCTCATCCAATGATTTAAATGGTAGCTGGCAGCTTGCAGGTTGCTGTCGTGGCTGCCTTATCAAGGCTTGGAATGCCATTGCATGCTCACCTCTTAGGGAGGTTGAGTGTGCACTTGGGGAAAATAAGCATGCAAGCCATGTTACCTAGATAAAGAGAAAAGGAAGTGGCAGTCAGCCACTTTCCTTGCAACTTGATCATTTCTTCTTTTTTCTTTTTTTTTTTTCCCTACTAAATTCTAACTAGCTTATTTACTATCAATTTAATCCATTTAGTTTTCACAACTGTATTTTGATACAGAATTTTAATCACATCAAGATAAATAATTTTATTTAAAAGAATTTAATATTGACATTAATTATGGTCCTATTAATATTATAATTTAATGGTTTAACAATCACTATTGATTGGCTTAATATTATTATTAATAAACTAATTAGTTGTCTAAAAATTTAGGTTCTTACAACCTATCCCCCTTAAGTAATTTCGTCCTCGAAATTTTAACACGTACCTTTATCTTCAAACAACTGAGGGTAATTGGCTCGTATTGCATCCTCTCTTTCCCAAGTAGACTCCTCCACTCCTCGATGCTGCCACAACACTCGCACCAAGTAGATGACCTTGCCTCTTAAGTTCTTTTCTCGTCGGTCCACAATCTTTATAGGTTTTTCCTTAAAGCTTGCATCTTCATTGAGATCAATTTCCCCCCAATTGATAACATGTGAAGGGTGTGGCTCATATTTCCGTAACATCGAGATGTGGAAAACATTGTGCACTGTTGCAAGCTGTGGTGGTAGAGCTAGACGGTATGCTACCTCTCCTACCTTGCTCAGAATTGCAAAGGGTCCCACATAGCAAGGTGCCAGTTTTCCTTTCTTTCCGAATCGCGTAATATCTCGACGAGGTTGAACTTTGAGAAAAACATGATTGCCTACCTCAAAGGTTAAGGGTCGTCTCCTTTGATCCGCATAGCTCTTTTGTTGACTTTGGGCTGTGGTTAGCCGTTGTTTGATCAGTTTTATCATCTCAGTAGTCTCCTGGATCAAGTCTGGTCCTAACAAGGTTGCTTCTTCTACTTCTGTCCAACAGACTGGTGATCGACAAGGTCGTCCATAAAGTTCTTCATACGTTGCCATTCCAATACTGGCTTGGAAACTATTGTTGTAAGCGAACTCAACGAGAGGTAAGTGTTTCTCCCAACTTCCATTAAAATCCATAACACAAGCCATCTGTTTGTGGGTGAAATGCCGTGCTAAAACATAAATTCGTTCCCATTGCCTTCTGCAAGCTCTACCAAAATTGGGAAGTGAATCGAGGGTCACGATCAGACATGATACTCACTGGTACTCCGTGTAATATGATCACTTCTTTGATGAAAAATCTACTGAGTGAGTCTAACGTATCTGATGACCCGACAGGTAAGAATCAGGCTGTCTTAGTTAGTCGATCTACCACTACCCATACGCCGTCATGTCTCTGTGGTGATCGAGGCAAACCAATCACAAAATCCATGGTTATGTGTTCCCATTTCCACTTCGGGATTGGTAAAGGTTGAAGTGTTCCTGCTGGTCTTTGGTGTTCAGCCTTTACTTGTTGACATGTCAGGCACTGGGACACAAACTTGGCTACATCCTTTTTCATTCTGCCCCACCAATATTGGCATTTTAAGTCTTGGTACATCTTAATACCTCTTGGATGTACTGCGAATACTGAATGGTGTATCTTTTCTCTTAGTGAGTCGTCACTCGGCACGAACACTTGACCTTGATATTTCAAACTCCCATCTGTGTGAATTTCCCAACCAGGCATGATTTCACTAGATTCCATTCATGCCTTGATAAATGCCACCTCCTGATCATACTATTGTGATTCTAATATTTCGCTCAAAATTTTAGGCGTAACAATTTGAGCACCAAGGTAAGCCTTTTCATCTTGAACCTCCATCTGTACCCCAAATTCATTGAGCGTTCCAATCATATTCCATTCTCTAAGGGCTAAACTAGCAACAATCCTTCTATTTTTGTGGCTTAAGGCATCTGCTACAACGTTAGCCTTGCCGGGATGATAAGAAAGGGTAAATTGGTAATCCTCGAGGTACTCCATCCAACGTCTTTGACGCATGTTCAGGTCCTTTTGGGTGAACAGATATTTCAAGCTTTTGTGGTCGGTGAATATCTCAAACTTTTCACCATATAAGTAGTGTCTCCAAATTTTAAGTGCATGAACTATGGCTGCTAACTCCAAGTCATGAGTGGGATAATTCTTCTCATGGTTCTTTAATTGCCTTGATCCATATGCCACCACCTTGCTATTTTGCATCAACACGCACCCTAAACCTTCTTTGGAAGCGTCACAATATAGATTGTACCTAACGTCACGTTCTAGTGCCATAAGAATAGGGGCACTCGTTAGTCTTTTCTTAAGTTCTTGGAATGAATTTTCACAAGACTCGTTCCATCCAAACTTAACCCCCTTTTGAGTCAAATGTGTCATTGGTCTGGCCAATTTTTAGAAGTCTTGAATGAATCTTTGATAGTAACCGGCCAATCCTAAGAAACAACGAATCTCAATGTGTTTTTAGGTTGCTTCCATTCTGTCACTGCCTCTACTTTAGTTGGGTCCACCGATACTCCCTTTTCAGACACCACGTGATCCAAAAACTTTACTTCCTCCATCCAGAATTCACACTTACTAGCTTTAGCATACAATTGGTTCTCCCTCAGGGTTTGAAGTACTATTCTCAAATGTTGTCCATGGTCTCCTTCAGACTTGGAATAGACCAAAATATCATCAATGAAAACTACCACAAATTGATCTAAGTAAGGCGTGAACATTTTGTTCATTAAACTTTTGAACACACCTGGTGCGTTGGTTAGGCCGAATGGCATCACTACGAACTCATAGTGGCCGTAACGGGTTCGAAATGCAGTCTTAGGAATATTTTCTTCCCCGAATACGCAACTGGTGATACCCAGATCTGAGTTCTATCTTTGAGAAATACTTTGCCCCTCTAAGTTGATCAAAAGGTCATCAATCCTAGGTAGTGGATATCGATTCTTAATGGTGACTCTATTGAGTTGTCGGTAATTAATGCACAACCTAAGTGTCCCATCTTTCTTCTTAGCAAATAAGGTCGGTGCTCCCTATAGGGATGTACTTTGCCTTATAAATTCCTTGTCCAATAATTCTTGCAACTGTGTCTTAAGTTCTCTCAATTCAGTTGGTGCCATACGATGTGGTGCCATTGAGATTGGTGATGCACCAGGTTGTAGTTCAATAGTAAAGTCTATTTCTCACTTTTGGGGTAGTCCTGATAATTCTTCTGGGAATACATACTCGCACATCACATGAGGTAGCCTTAGTTCCATACGATCCTGTCTTCCAGAACTAAGCTGGCTAGCCACCCAGCTAGATGATCGTGCCACTTTGACTTTCCAAGTGTCAGTGATAGGGAATCTTGTCTATCCCCCTTAAATTGAAATCGTGTTTCGTCATGAGAGTAGGTAGTCATCGTCTTTTGAAAGCAATTAATGGTGGCTCTATGGGATGATAACCAGTCCATTCCTAGGATAACGTCAGAGTCTGACATTTCCATGACTCATAGATCGCAAGTTAAATGCAAACTAGAGACTCCTAGTTCACATGATTTGCATATGAGATCCACTTGAGTTTATCCTCCTAACAGTGAAGCTACACTCATAGGTATTTCTAATTGTTCAAGCTCTAGCCCCAATATTCACATAATTGTAGTAGAGAAGAAAGAGTATGACGTGGCTACGATAATAGCGTAATTAGCATAAGAATTCAAATGGAATTTGAACAGACAGTACAGTCGGATGACATGATGGTTTTGAACTTTTAATAGGGTTAAGATTATGGAGCTGGTGACCAAACTAGATATTTGAATTGAAATTGCGTTTGGCCATACACATTTCAAACCAAATACCTAAGATTCTTCACCTTGTAAGGATTAAAAGAGTACAACTGGTTTTTAAGAGAACAACATACAAGATACAATAATCAAGGCTAAAAAAAAATTGCCAATTGATCATCTTAAGGCAATACTTTGTCGAATTGGAAAGGTTCAATCAAGATACAGAAGAGATGATTTTGTATTGGACAAATTTGGCGTCAAGCTAGAGGAACAGTTAGGATCAATTAAGGATAGTTACTATGATTAGCATAAAGCTCGCATAAACTATGAGTCACATAACTCTATTCCTTCAAACACATGAGACTACTCCTCAATTGAGGTTAAACCTCTTCCCACCGTCCCTAGGTAATCTAACCTAGAGCTCTGATACCATGTTGTGACGCCTCAAAATTTGAGGACATCATAATAAGGTTTAAAACTTAAAGTCAATTTTCTTAATTAAGAATCCTCATCAATGTTGCCACCAAATTTACCATCATCCATTAATTTACAACACGGAAACTAAAAGTTCTTAAATTACAACTCCAGTCAAACTTAAAACTTTGTCTTAGTACACAAATATAAAAAGAAACTAGAGAAAAACTAGAAAACTCAGAAAAATGGTTCATGGAACTTTTGGCACGCTTCAAGCTAATCAGGGCAGAATGTTGCCTTCCAACACCTTGGTGTTTCCTTCGGTTTCTTCGGTACCTGGCATGAAACGCCAGGGCAACGGGAATGCCAATGAGCGACGGGCTCAATAAGATACTACAACCCTAAATACCCACCCCGATAATAATACTCATAATTAATGAATAATGCCTAGTAGCAGAATAACAGGTAGCATTTAATAAGCATAACGGGAATGCCATCAGTTGAAATAATAACAATAGATAATAAATAAAAAAATGACAAACAGAAGCAATATTTCACATTAAGGGGAATGCCCACTTTTCTTTTTAAATTCTCATAGATTTAGTTTATCAGACAAGTTTAAGTAACTCCCCGCGGAGCACTATTTCCACTCAACCGCTAAGCAATGGCCACGGGCAATTCTGACTCCCCCTTGGTCAAATATTCAAATGTTACTTACTGTAACTACCAATGATGCCCACGCACCAGGGTTACGTACCCGAGTTTGCCATGTCCTTGTAATGGACTGTTTGGCAATCCCAAGGGCAGTTATTGTTTGCAGAGACTATTAGTTGATTTCCCAATTGAAACTGTCTCTTCTGTTCAATTGTCTGTGAAGAGCAAGTTGCCCTTCAGTTCAATTTGGGAAAAGGACCAAAATTATCATTTGAATTTGAAGGTAATTAGAGATAGGGACAGTTATGTTGAAGGTTTAATTGAAATGGAAGGCGATGCATCGTGTAGCTCAATATCTGGCACCGGGAAGTCAGAAAATGTGTCTGAAAGGGACTTGGTTCTGAGGAATGAATCGGATGTGGGGCTTGGTGTAGTGAATTCATCACTCCATGTCAAAGAGGGAAGGTTTGATCTTAAGGGTAAGGGGATTATAAATCAAAGGCCAAGGAGTGGTCTTAGGCGTAGTCGAAAACGTGTTACTGATTTTGGGAAAGTTTCTTCTGTTTCATCAGAGAATCCTTCATGTGCAGATGCTCAGTCACCTTTTAGCATCATTCATAAAGGGGGTGAGGAGATTGAACTCAGCTCAGTGCCTTTTGATTCTGGGGTTGATGCTAATCGCTTTCACTGTGAGTGTTGATTTATGTTTCAGAAAAAAAAAACATTTGCACCTTTATTGTTGTTAGCATCTTTTCCATTGGACATGAGACAAGACCAGAGGCATTAATGTTGCCTTCTTTGAGCTACAAGAAGCTTGGTGCTGCACAGTGCCCTTCACTTACAAAAATAGTTGTGTGTATTGAAATACCAGTTCTATGCATGTCCAATGCCCCAAATGGAATGCTCTCTGTTGAAATTTTGTCTCGGGATTTTGAAAAACTCTAGGCTAGGTATGGGTAAGGGATTGGGGAGGGATTTAAACCAAAAAGGGATAATTTAAAATCGTTTTGTTTAGATTTAGAAAAGAAGATTTGCAAATTCTCTTTGGGTTTTAATGATCAAATCCCCAACATTACTGTTACAATTCTTATTTCTGAATGAAACATATAATTGTGACCTCTTTAAAATAATCATGGATGTGAAAACTTAAACTTGGATAAGAAATACTAATATACTATCTCCTAATAACATATTTTTCAATTTTTGAGATTTAAGATGTGGTTTCTAATCCACTCGTTATGAGTATTTCAAGTATTCTAAAATGCCTCATAATTCCTTTGTCAGAAAGAATAAAGCATAATTTAAATGACAATAACAATTAATAAAAATGTACAAGAAAAGAAAAAAAAATAGTGTTCTTGGTTTGAAATATGTACTACCACCTTTACATATATAGCAAGGGTTAAGTTATATGTTTAGGTCCCTCTTTCACTTAAACACTTTAAGTTGTTTGCTTGAGAGTTTGAACCTCAAATATTTTTCCATGTGCTCACCTCAAAGCATGAGCCTTGGCATTTCAAAATGATATTTTGGATATGAATCGGCAGCACTTTTAAGTTGGTCTATTAGAATTTACATGGTATCCTATACATATGTAAAATGCAAGTATTTAATCGCGCCTTTGCTAATAAATAATATGTGTGCCAACACTAATGCTTTTGTGCCTTCCTGGTTTGTGATTTTAGACGATGAGGAGGATCATGTTATGGGGAATATTGTGGAGAGAGCTTCACATGGTTTTGACCTGATTGAACCTTTTGATGAAGATAAGCCGGCTGAGAAGAATGCATCTTTTGAAGAGATAAAGAGTAATGCACAAAGGGAGCTGGATTTTGATGGTAATGAGAAAAATGCAATCAGAATCTTGGAACAAGCACTTGAAGAAGAGCAGGCTGCTCGTGCAGCTCTTTACCTTGGGCATACCGAACTACCCCTCGGCGTTCTACCGGGGAAACTCCATTCGCTTTGGCTTATGGCATGGAGGCGGTCATACTTTTGGAAGTAGATATGCCCACTCTCCGAAGTGAAAGTTTTGAACCCGAGCTAAACGCCGAGGCCATTGCTCTGGAAATGGATCTGGTGGAAGAGCGCCGGGAAAAGGCCCTCATCCACATCGCTGCCTACCAACAAGAGCTCTCAAGGAAGTACAATAAAACGGTGCACCCCAGACCGTTCAAAGTTGGTGATTGGGTTTTGAGGAAAGTTATGGGCAACACCCTAGTGCCAGGTGAAGGCAAACTAGGGGCAAATTGGGAAGGACCCTACAAGATAACCGGTCTGGCGGGCAAGGGGGCATACCACTTGGAGGATCTTGATGGTAAAGGAATACCCCGGTCATGGAATGCGGCCAACCTCAAACTGTACTTTTTCTAGCTTTTGTTTTCTTTTTGTGCAAAGAAATTTTTTGCCTTACACTTCAGAATGTAATTCTTTTTGTCAATATATAGAGGTGTCTTCTTTGCCTTAGCATTTTGATTGATTACTTTGAATACTTAGAGATTCTCAACCGAGATGATTTACTCCGGTTGAAAGAGTTGATGTTTTGTTCAACTTAGAGATTCTCAACCGAGATGATTTACTCCGGTTGAAAGAGTTGATGTTTTGTTCAACTTAGAGATTCTCAACTGAGATGATTTACTCCGGTTGAAAGAGTTGATGTTTTGTTCAACTTAGGTATTCTCAACCGAGATGATTTACTCCGGTTGAAAGAGTTGATGTTTTGTTCAACTTAGAGATTCTCAACCGAGATAATTTACTTCGGTTGAAAGAGTTGATGTTTTGTTCGACTTAGGTATTCTCAACCGAGATGATTTACTCCGGTTGAAGGAGTTGATGGTTTGTTCAACTCAGAGATTCCAACCGAGATGATTTACTCCGGTTGAAGGAGTTGATGGTTTGTTCAACTCAGAGATTCCAACCGAGATGAGTTACGCCAGTTGAAGGAGTTGATGGTTTGTTCAACTCAGAGATTCCAACCGAGATGAGTTACGCCGGTTGAAGGAGTTGATGGTTTGTTCAACTCAAAGATTCCAACCGAGATGAGTTTGTTTACCGAGGTGCTAACTCCGGTCAAGCTAGTTGGTGATTTGTGCAACTTAGTCATTCAAACCGAGATGTTTTGCTGAAGATAGAGATGGAGAAAACCGTGCAAACACTTGATGAAATTAAAGCTTTTCATTGATAAAAAGTTGATACAAAAGGTGGGAAACTTAGCCTGGTTACATTTGCAGACAAAAAAGAAAACTAAACTAAAGGGGAGAGGTCTGGGAATTCCTCTTCTGCTTCCAGGTTGACTGTTGCTGTCTGGTCCTGGACACCGGTCCCAGTCTGGCCGGTCTGCCCCTGCTCGGTTTGGTCATCTCCCTCAGCGTCTGCCTCGACTTCTTCGAGTCCTTCCTCGGCCTCAGCTTGCAGCGCGCTGAAGACGTCATTGGCATATGGAATGAGGTAAGTCGGTAAGAAGACAGCCGGTGGAGAGGCAAACACGTCAGTGTCAGGACCTTGACCGAGCTGTTGACAGGCAGCCTTCCATCCAGCTTTGAAATATATGTCCTGGGTGGCGAAGACTTGTTTTTTATAGTTGTCTTCCGCCTCTTTGAAGCCGGCATTATTGGCGTCTTCACAATCGTTCTCCCTGGACTTCTTGAGCGCGTCCAGCTCGGTCTGGAGCTCGTCCCTCTTTTTCTCGGCTTCGTCCAGTTGGCCGAGCAGCCGGTTGTTATCGGCATTGGCGATTTCAAGTGAGGACTTTGCTCGACCAAGCTCGGTTTGGAGGCCTTGGACTTGGCTGGCAGTGTCTGCTGCCTTTTGCCGAAGTCGGTGGATGCGCTCTATGACCAAGTGTTGCTTTTGAATGGCCTACAAGGGGAAAAACTGGATCAAATCAGAAACCGTGCAAACACTTAATAAAAATTTCAGCAAATGATTGAGACTTACCCTGGCCATGGACTTGACTGAAGACTTCACAAGCCGAGTGTCCGGAACGTGGTCGCTGCCGACTACATCGCTCGGTAGGAGCAGGGCTTTTGAGAGATCAAAGGCAAGAAGGTGCTCTTTGTCACCCTTGATCGAAGCGTTCGCTGGGATGTCTTTTCCCCAGTGTTTAAGCTACGGTCGCCAGGCTGGAGTTGGGTCTGCGGGTTCTGTGGGTTGCTCGGTGGTGAGCTCGGCAACCAGCTCGGCCGATGGGTCTGCGCGAGGCCTTTTGCTAGCCCGGCGAGCTTCTTGCTTGGATTGCCCGGCAGCCGGCGACGCCAATGCAACTATAGGGCCGCTGGATTGACCGGCAGCTTGAGAATGGGGAACGATGCTCGGTATTTCGCCCGAGGTCGCAGTGAGCAAGTTCTTGATGCGACTCCTTTTCGCCATCTCCTCGGCTTCAGTTAACCGGATGAATGGGATGTCTGGCAGAGTTGGATCTCGGGGAGGAGTTGGAGCACGGAGAAAGTCTGTAACTTTACTCCAGCGGGGTGCTGAGTATCTATAAGTTGGAACGTAGCCGAGCAATTCGTTGCAATCTCGGTTGCTGTAGCGGAGCGCGGTTCGGATTGCTTCTACGTTGGGGTATTGGTAGTTTGCTTGCAAAGCTTGAATCGCTGCAGGAGGAACAAGAAAAATGGTTAAGTGCAGAATAATAAAGTGAATTGACCGAACAAGACAACACGGCTTACATGTGGAACCGAAGTTCTTGCTTATGAACCAGCCCGGTACCTTGGCTGTTTCATAATTGCCGGTTACCCAGAAGAAATCGTCATCGTGGAAGTCCTTGTCTGGTGTTCCGGTCACGATTTTTTCTTTGCCCGGCCTAATCTTAAGGAAATAGGCGAGGCCGTCGCCGGTGTGCCCCAGGGTGTACTGCCGCAGTATCTCGGCTAAACCTAAGTTAATGCCTAGCCGGTTGTTAAGCTCGTGCACACCGTTTATTATTCGGTAGGTGTTGGTGGACACTTGAGTGGGTGCAAGCCCGGTGTAGTGGAGGAACTCGGTGAGTTGAGTGGAAAACGAAGGCCTCCTTCGACGATTGATAGCACGGTGAAGGGGCACTCCTCTCTGCCCCAAGGCGTTGTCTCAATTTCTGCAAGCTCAAGGTGGACATCGGCCGGGATGCCGTACTCCTCCCTGAATGCAGCTAGGGCAGCCAGAGTATCTACAAGGAAGCGGAATTTTCCCATTTACGATCGGCTAAATTATCTCGGCTTTGGTTTGGCACTGTCAGGTGATTTGTGGCTGCTCGGTCTTTGGGAGCCTCAGGATTGGACAGTGGTCCCCTTGGACTCTGCAGGAAAAGGAGGGCAAGTGTAAGAGGGAGCGCGGTCGCGCAAAGCGAGCTTGACTTTAGCTCGGTCGTCTAGAGTGCCAAACCACATCGCTCGTAGAGGCTGACAAGGAGCTCGGCCGCCCAAGCAGACCAGATTTTAGCCCGGTTGAGCGGCCAAGACCTTTGTTATCCCGGTTCTTGCTATGGTTCTATCTAACAGGTTATTTGCTCAGTCGAGATGGTTTTTTGGATCAAACAAAGACCTGGAGCCCGGTCCGCCCCAGTTCTTCAAAGTTCATCAGCAAAAATGAAGAACACCATGAACAGTGGGAGGTTTGGAACAATTTCTATGGCCTACATCCTAAGAACTATGTTTTAGTACCCTAATGTGTGAAATATTTAAGAAGATAGCAACAAAAGAGGAGTTGAAGGACTTACCAGTGAAAGGAAGGGACTATTCCTTCGAGCACGAAGAATGGCAGATGAGGCTTGGAGAAAGTTGCTTGAGCTCTGAAGCGTCGGATTGCAGAGAGGCAGTAGGAGCGAAATGAGAAAGAGGGGGCTTGTATGTATAGACGGAGAAATCGCCAAGAATTCAAATTCTGGTGGACGGCTGGGTTGGCTGCTCGAGGTCCAATGGAAGCCTGCCACGTGTCCTCATTTATGATGACGTCAGAACTGAAAGGACGGGTTGAAGAGTCGAGGAGACAACCGGGCAATTTTTAAAGAAGAGGACGTCTACCGAGAAATATAACCGAGCAAGTTTGCAGACGGGAATGTCAACTAGCCCGGTCGCCATTTCGCATTCTGAGGACCGAGGAAGTGTTATCCCGGTCGAAATAAATAATCCCAGTCACGCTTTTGCGGACGGAATTAAGGGGCAATTGAGAGGGAGATTTATGATTTGAGATTGGGCCGTGACGTTAGCCGGACAGATTTGGGCCGAGGTATTGGGCTCCAAGATCAGGCTGTGATATTGCTCGGTAATGACAAAGCCCACGTTGAACCGAGCTATATGATCTCGGTTCCGCGAAGGGCGGACAGGTGGAGGAGCAGCCTAGATGAGGCTCCCCGGCTCACGCGTTGCAAGGCTGTAATGCACGCACCTTAACCCGGTAGGAAGGCCGGCACTTGGAACGTGGCCGAGAAGGTTGTTGGCTGACCGGCACAACCAATCTCCAGCTCAGCTTCGCCGGAATACAGTTGAGTACGGGTGGAATTAGGCTCGGTAGTAGGAAACTATATCAACTGCATTTCGGTATGTTCAGTATGGCCGTTGATAGCCGAGGTAATGTTGCCCGGCTGCTGTGCTCCCAGCAGAGTGGGCTGGCAGTTGGGTTAGGTGATGTATAACAAGATTTGTGCTGACAGATGGGATAACAGAGCCACGTGTCTAGAGACCAATGGGAGTAGATTTGGGGCGCAGAAGAGTATATAAGCATGTCTGCGCCCCCCATACGGGACACAGGAACATTTTGTAAGGAAATTCTTACACTCAAATACTCCTCTCTCTCTCTCCCTCTATCCTAAGGTGTGTGCTAACTTGACCGTCGGAGGGTTTTTCCGGCCACACACCGTCGGGTAGCTCACCGTTATTTGCTCGCAAGTGATCGGACAGAAACGGAGCTCGGAAGAAAGGAGTACGGGCTTGCCGGAATATTTGTTCCCCGTACAGTACTACAAATAAAAAGGATTATTTGGTTTATAAAAAAACATGTAGGACTAAATGGACTAACATTTCTCCAAATGAGATTTATGAGTAATTTTTTCTAAAATTATTAGTACAATAAAATTGAATAAGAAATTATTAGTACGATATTATTAATTTAGACAGAAAAGATAAATTGTATTTATTTATGTATTAATAATAGTATAGTGGTACTAATTAGTTGAGATTAAAATATATAAATTTGTATAAAAATCCTCAATATATAAAATGACTTTGCTAATATCCTCCCTTATGAGGATTCGTAGTCTTGCAATATTCTTGCAAAACAAATTATGCAAGACCCATCATATTGTTGATACAATCTTACCACCAACGACAAACAAATAAGGCCCCAGTGTCTCCATCAGTGAATTCTAATAGCCGAGTTAAACCAAACGATAATAATATGAGAACTAAATACATTATCTATTCAATCCATAATTATTACATTCTTCTCTCATAAAAAAAATTAAAAAAATTAAAAAGTCAAAAAATCCTTCCCAAACCAAACTTTTTAGCTCAGGCTAAAATAGTCAAAAAAATCAAAAAGCTAAAAAGTCAACCAACTTTCCAAACAGAGGCATTATATGAGAACTAAATTGCCCCAGATTTTTGGGCAATTTTTCCTTTGTTAATTTTTCAAAATTCAATATGCAACTTCAATTTTTGTGAAGCACTTCAAAATGTTATTTTTCTTCTTCTTCTTCTTCTTTTTTTTTTTCAATAAATTTTGAATTATATTAAAAGTTCAAATCAAAAACTAATTTATCACCAAATTAAGTCCATAAGAACCAAGCCTGACTTGAAGCCCACAAACCCATAAATTGGGACTACGCTTTAGAATCTAAGATGGGCCATTCGAGCTTGACCCGTTAACCAGTCAAAACTCACGGAACTAGGCCTTAAATTTTAGGATGAATTATAACCGGATGTTTTTAATTATTAGTAAATATCACTCTATGCCATCATTTATGAATTTATAAATTTTGACTCATTCATTTTTAAAATTATATATCTTTCATTTTTTTTTGGGTACATCGGAAAGTGTATTTTTTTGGTTCATCGTTAGTAAAAACATGTATCTTTCACCTGTTTAGACCATCTCCAAAAAAAGTATATTTGTATAGTTTCATAATTGAAAAGCTTAATATATACGAGTTTATAAATAAGAGAAATAAGTGACATTCACTAATTAATCCTAAATTTTAATCAGTGATATTCACTAATTAAATAATAGTTGAATATTCTTTGTGTAATTAATTCTAAATTTTACTACAAATTTTCAAAATAAAAAGATTATAAGAGTAAAATACAAATAAATCCCCTAAAATTTTATTAAAATGCAAATTGCTTGTAGTTATAGAAATAACATCTTACCCTTCAAAATTTTAAATCGCATAATATATGAAATGACTAATTTAATAATAAATTATCAAGTAAATTAATATTTTTTGATAACATAAAAAATATTTTTTAATTAATAATTTAAATTATTTTATTATTTTATATAAGAGTAATTAGTTTTTTTTATTAATTCAATTAATTAAAAAAAATTAACAAAAAAAATATTTATAATTTTTAAAAAAACATAAGTAATTTATATTCATAAATGGTATGTATTACTGTTAAGCCAGCACGAAGGATCCAACATAGCTATAATTTCTCATATTGACCCGCAATAACATTCATCTTTTCCATACATCCAAACTCTCTCTCATCGCGCGTAAAAAACACGACCAAATTACTTTCCACGTGGCGGTTCACTACAATCACCAAACGCGCGTAAACAAAATGCAAATCTCTATGTTGGACAGATGGACGGCCAATTCAGTGGTTCCACGACGTCGTATCATATCTACTTGGAACAAAAAAACAAGTCCAAAAGCAAAACCATGTGAGCGATCCACAAAAAAACAACACTTTGTTCGTCCATCTCTGTCTTTGCTTCTTCTCTGTCTATTGTACTCAGTTATATGCAGATATCATTTTCAAAATAAATAAATAAATAAATATCACTTTCTCTTAGCTAATTTTACTCACAGCATTCAATTTTAGGGTTCTTGGAATCACAATCACAACTCTCAATTCAACAACAACAACAAACAAGAAACTACAACAAAGAAGAAAAAGGAAGGCTTTTCAGTGAAACCCCAGTCAATTATTCCTTTTGTTTTTGGGTAATTCTCTCTCTTTTTCATCATATGGGTACTCATCTTTTTATCTAGTTTTTGGGGTTTCTTGATCTTTTCCTTTTCTTTTTTTTTTTTTTTTTACTTTTCTAAAACAGTTTTTTATTAAAAATATTTTTGGTAAAAAAATATTTATGTTGAAAATATAAATTAAAAAAAATTAATGTAAAAACGACTTTTCTAAAACCGTTTTTTATTAAAAATATTTTTGGTCAAAAAATATTTATGTTGAAAATATAAATTTAAAAAATTAATGTAAAAACGACTTTTCTAAAACCGTTTTTTATTAAAAATATTTTTGGTCAAAAAATATTTATGTTGAAAATATAAATTTAAAAAATTAATGTAAAAACGACTTTTCTAAAACCGTTTTTTATTAAAAATATTTTTGGTCAAAAAATATTTATGTTGAAAATATAAATTTAAAAAATTAATGTAAAAACGACTTTGGTAAATACGTTTTCTAAAACGACTTTTCTAACACCGTTTTTTATTAAAAATATTTTTGATCAAAAAATATTTATGTTAGAAATATAAATTAAAAAAAATAAATGTAAAAACGATTTTACCAAAACTATTAAAAAATAAATGTAAAAACGATTTTACCAAAACTATTTTTAATTAATTTAGAATTAATTAAAAACTTAATTAAAACTGACTTTTCTAAAAAGGTTTTTTTATGTTCAAATTTTGTTATTATTTTAATTATAAGACACGGTTTTTCGAAAGTTGTTTTTTAAAAAACAGCATTCACCCTATTCTGGCAATAAAAGATAATAGAGCTCCGCTATAGACCCTCAGTGGGGGTCGCACCCCGAGTGAGGTGACGTGCCTCCACTGGTCAAAACTCTAAAAAATCATTAATGTTTCTAAAATTGTTTTCTATATTTAAATTTTATTATTATTTTAATCTCAAAACACAGCTTTTCGAAAATAGTTTTTTAGAAAACGACATTCCTAAAACCGTTTTATCCTAATATGGAAATAAAGTTAAAAACACACCAATCAAGGAAATTGGCCATATTGACCCGCAATAACTTTTATCTTTTCCACCTTTCTAAAAAAAAATAAACTTTCATCTTTTCCATACATCCAAACTCTCTCTCACCGCGCGTAAAAAGCACGAACAAATTTACTTTCCACGTGGCGGTTCACTACAATCACCAAACGCGCGTAAACTAAATGCAAATCTCTATGTTGACAGATGGACGGCCAATTCGGTGGTTACACGACGTCGTATCATATCTACTTGGAACAAAAAGACAAGCCCAAAAGCAAAACCATGTGAGCGATCCAAAAAAAAACAACACTCTGTTCGTCCATCTCTGTCTTTGCTTCTTCTCCGTCTATTGTACTCATTTATATGCAGATATCACTTTCAAAATAAATAAATAAATAAATAAATATCACTTTCTCTTAGCTAAGTTTACTCATAGCATTCAATTTTAGGGTTCTTGGAATCACAATCACAACTCTCAATTCAACAACAACAACAAACAAGAAACTACAACAAAGAAGAAAAAGGAAGGCTTTTCACTGAAACCCCAATCGATTATTCCTTTTGTTTTTGGGTAATTCTCTCTCTTTTTCATCATATGGGTACACATCTTTTTATCTAGTTTTTGGGGTTTCTTGATCTTTTCCTCTTCTTTTTTTTTTTTATCTCCCTTTTGGGTGCCAAGAAAGTTCAAGAAAAGAAAATTTGGATAGATAATTCTCTTTGGCTTTGAGTCGATTTGTGTATTGATTTTGTTTTTTTGTTTTTTTGTTTTCTGGGTTTCTTGTGGGGCAAAGCAGCGGAATTGATAGGGCTTAATTCAATTCAAAATTTTGTTTTTGTTTTTGTTTTTGGGACTTTGCTAAATTTTCTGTGGAACCAAGCAAGGGACAAAATGGCATGCCAGGCAATGCATTCATGGACATTTGGTGGGTTAGTTGGGGCTTTTCTTGACCTTGCTATTGCTTATCTTTTACTCTGTGCGTCAACTCTTGCTTTTATGGCCTCGAAATTTCTGGGTTTCTTTGGACTCTGCTTGCCATGTCCTTGTAATGGACTGTTTGGCAATCCCAAGGGCAGTTATTGTTTGCAGAGACTATTAGTTGATTTCCCAATTGAGACTGTCTCTTCTGTTCAATTGTCTGTGAAGAGCAAGTTGCCCTTCAGTTCAATTTGGGAAAAGGACCAAAATTATCATTTGAATTTGAAGGTAATTAGAGATAGGGACAGTTATGTTGAAGGTTTAATTGAAATGGAAGGCGATGCATCGTGTAGCTCAATATCTGGCACCGGGAAGTCAGAAAATGTGTCTGAAAGGGACTTGGTTCTGAGGAATGAATCGGATGTGGGGCTTGGTGTAGTGAATTCATCACTCCATGTCAAAGAGGGAAGGTTTGATCTTAAGGGTAAGGGGATTATAAATCAAAGGCCAAGGAGTGGTCTTAGGCGTAGTCGAAAACGTGTTACTGATTTTGGGAAAGTTTCTTCTGTTTCATCAGAGAATCCTTCATGTGCAGATGCTCAGTCACCTTTTAGCATCATTCATAAAGGGGGTGAGGAGATTGAACTCAGCTCAGTGCCTTTTGATTCTGGGGTTGATGCTAATCGCTTTCACTGTGAGTGTTGATTTATGTTTCAGAAAAAAAAAACATTTGCACCTTTATTGTTGTTAGCATCTTTTCCATTGGACATGAGACAAGACCAGAGGCATTAATGTTGCCTTCTTTGAGCTACAAGAAGCTTGGTGCTGCACAGTGCCCTTCACTTACAAAAATAGTTGTGTGTATTGAAATACCAGTTCTATGCATGTCCAATGCCCCAAATGGAATGCTCTCTGTTGAAATTTTGTCTCGGGATTTTGAAAAACTCTAGGCTAGGTATGGGTAAGGGATTGGGGAGGGATTTAAACCAAAAAGGGATAATTTAAAATCGTTTTGTTTAGATTTAGAAAAGAAGATTTGCAAATTCTCTTTGGGTTTTAATGATCAAATCCCCAACATTACTGTTACAATTCTTATTTCTGAATGAAACATATAATTGTGACCTCTTTAAAATAATCATGGATGTGAAAACTTAAACTTGGATAAGAAATACTAATATACTATCTCCTAATAACATATTTTTCAATTTTTGAGATTTAAGATGTGGTTTCTAATCCACTCGTTATGAGTATTTCAAGTATTCTAAAATGCCTCATAATTCCTTTGTCAGAAAGAATAAAGCATAATTTAAATGACAATAACAATTAATAAAAATGTACAAGAAAAGAAAAAAAAATAGTGTTCTTGGTTTGAAATATGTACTACCACCTTTACATATATAGCAAGGGTTAAGTTATATGTTTAGGTCCCTCTTTCACTTAAACACTTTAAGTTGTTTGCTTGAGAGTTTGAACCTCAAATATTTTTCCATGTGCTCACCTCAAAGCATGAGCCTTGGCATTTCAAAATGATATTTTGGATATGAATCGGCAGCACTTTTAAGTTGGTCTATTAGAATTTACATGGTATCCTATACATATGTAAAATGCAAGTATTTAATCGCGCCTTTGCTAATAAATAATATGTGTGCCAACACTAATGCTTTTGTGCCTTCCTGGTTTGTGATTTTAGACGATGAGGAGGATCATGTTATGGGGAATATTGTGGAGAGAGCTTCACATGGTTTTGACCTGATTGAACCTTTTGATGAAGATAAGCCGGCTGAGAAGAATGCATCTTTTGAAGAGATAAAGAGTAATGCACAAAGGGAGCTGGATTTTGATGGTAATGAGAAAAATGCAATCAGAATCTTGGAACAAGCACTTGAAGAAGAGCAGGCTGCTCGTGCAGCTCTTTACCTTGAGCTTGAGAAAGAGAGAAGTGCTGCTGCTTCGGCTGCAGACGAGGCCATGGCTATGATACTGCGTCTACAAGAGGAGAAGGCATCTATAGGAATGGAAGCTCGGCAATACCAGAGGATAATAGAAGAGAAATCTGCCTATGATGCTGAAGAAATGAACATTCTCAAAGAAATCCTTGTGAGGAGAGAGACGGAGAAGCATTTCTTGGAAAAGGAAGTTGAAGCTTATATACAGATGATTTATGATGGAAATCAGCAGTTACAAGATGATATTCAGAGTATGGAGAACAAACAGAGAGAACAACTTTCTTCGCCACTTGATCTGGGTGAGGAGGATACATTCCTGATGCTCCAACAGCTTAGCAAATCCATTGATAAGAAGGAAATAATGAAAGAAAAAAGTTCAGTTAATAAGGCTTCGTCTATTAATGAAAAACACTGTGCCCTTGCTGTTGGGGAGAAATTACAAATTTCAGGATGGGATGGACCACCTGATTTTTCAAAGCCAGTAGACCTAGACAAACAATTTTCAGAGACATTGACTAGTTCTGAGGAACACAATTTTTCAGAGAAAACCATACTCTTATCAGGTGAACAAGAAGAGCAAGACATTAATGCCCATGAATGCAAAGGAATGGCAATAAAGACTGTTGAAACCCATAATGTACCTGACATAGATATTCCATATGATGGCGAAATTTTAGAGCAGCATGGAAAAAAAGCATCTCAGGGAAGCAAAGATCCTGGCAACTTGATACTTGATAGGGAGCCTTGTATTCATGACGTTCATGTCATTGATGGTGAATCCAATTTGTTTAATGAGATCAGAGAAAACAAAAATGAATTGCTCTTGGAGAATGACATTTCAAATGTTCACAGAATAAACGATATGCCATTAAAAGGTTCTGAGGTTCAGAGGATAGATGTCAAAACCGATTGTTCAAGCACTAGTGGGATGAACACTGAGCCAGACATTGACAGAAGCAGTTCAGATATGACACCTGGGCTGCCACCTTTATGTGGGAAATCTATACCTTCTAATCTGCAGAGAAATTCCACACCAGTAGTTGAGAATGAAAGGTTGAAAATTGATTCGGAAGTTGAATGGCTCAGAGAAAGGTTAAGGATTGTGCAAGAAGGAAGAGAAAAGCTCAACTTCCCGGTGGAGCATCAGGAAAGGGAAAATTTTCAATTGCAACTTCTGGAGGATATAGCATGCCAACTTCGAGAGATTCGGCAACTAACAGAACCTGGAAAGGCAGTGCGCCAGGCTTCCTTGCCCCTGTTATCCCCGAAGGTTTGATCATATAGATTTCTCTTTCTTCCTTTTTACATCCACATCAAATACATAATCAAACCAACCTATGCTTTGTGTCCCAATTAGGTGTGGTCCGCTTCATGAATCTTTCTTTTCCATTCCATCAAGGGTTATATGCTCAACTAAATTAAATATATTTTGTATAATTTTTTTCTATTGCATCCCATGTCATTTTATGTCTTCCCTTCCTAACATTTTCATTTACGGTGATCATATCACTTTTCCTTACCTGTTGCATCTATAGATCTTCGTTGCACATAACTATATGGTCTTATTCTATTGGTGTTACTACTATGATTTCACAAATATATTCATTTCTAATTCTATTTTTTCAAGCGTTACCACATATCCATTTAAGCATTTTCATCTCATCTCAGCTACACTCATTTTATGATTGTGTTATTTCTTATTTGCCTAATATTCTGTTCCGTAAAACATTATTGGCCTTATAGTTGTTCTATATTTTTCGTTTAATCTTGTTAGTAGTCATCGATCAAATAATATGCCAAGAAACACTTCTCCACTTAAGCCAACCTGCCTGGATTCCAAATGAAGTGCCAAATAGAGTTCTCATGTTGCATGCTTGTTCTCTTGAAGCTTATGTTTTCTTCCATCAAACAGGTTTGATCAAGTGATCATCCTACCTCATGATCATTCATATGCAGCATCTAGGTGCATGCTGTCACCTAAATGTTTTGGACCTTCCACTTGGGCAGTTTTTAAGATTTTAAAATTTTAATGTTCAAAATTAATAAAAAGACACTGAACAATTGTAAGAAAAAAATAAATCAAATGAGGTTAGAAACAACACATAACCCATCCGTTTCCCCTTGGTCCTCACTGTTGTCTAATACTCTAAGGCCCCGTTTGTTTGGAGTTATAAGAAGGGGATTGAGACTACTAATACCTTGGTATTACTAATACCTTGTTTGTTTTGAGAGATGGCTTTAGGACTACTAATACCTTGGCATTACTAATACTCTTGGAAGGGGGATTCATAGTGAGGAGGTAGAGATGGTATTAGAAAAATAGTGAGGGAATTAGAAATTTTTTAATTTTTTTAATTTTTTATATATTGGGAATTTTTTTTAAAAATATTAATGTTTAATTTTTATATTTTTTTATTTGTTTTATTATTTTATATAAAAGTAATTTAACAATTTCTCACTATTAATCCCCTCACTATCAATCCCCTCACTATCAATCTCCTTCATTCTATCTCTGAAAACAAACGGGGCCTAATGTGCTAACTAGATGCCAACACATCAAAAATGATTTGTTTTATTGTGTAAACCTGTATGAAGACTACATGTTCTTGGAGGCTTTTCTCATCACAACTAAATATTTTCTTTATCGATCCCCTCACTATTAATCCCCTCACTATCAATCTCCTTCATTCTATCTCTGAAAACAAACGGGGCCTAATGTGCTAACTAGATGCCAACACATCAAAAATGATTTGTTTTATTGTGTAAACCTGTATGAAGACTACATGTTCTTGGAGGCTTTTCTCATCACAACTAAATATTTTCTTTGACCAGTTCTTCTAGATTGTTTCTCTTCTGGGGTTTTTGGTTTTCTTTCCCATATTGTATTGTTTAATGTACAAGCCAATACTTCTCTCAAGCCCAACCCAAATTTTGCCAAACCAAGCTTCAAAAACCCATTAATGCTTTAGGAAATCAATGAATAAATAGATTAAAAGGCAATATTTGTCTTACCCTGCCCCTGAGGCTATGTTTGGATCCTGGATTCATGGAGAGAGGAAAATTGAATACTGGATAAATCTCTTAACAAATTCAAGATTTAAACACAACTTGAAGCTATGTTTGGACCATGGATTTAGGTAGGGATTTGGAAATGTGAGGGAAATATGAATGAAATATAAGCTAATTTTTTTCTCCATTTCTCTCGCCTTTTCCTTTCTCTTTCCAAATTTATGATCCAAACACAACCTACAGAAAATTTCGGTTGCCTTGTTAATGAATTTTACTTAGCAAGGCTACAAATAGTAGGTAAAGAAGTGATAATAGGTTGTCTTCCTCGTTCCACATGAAGCTCCTAATGATTCTTTTATAGTTCCTTATGGCCAATATCTGCTGCTGACTTCCACAACTTCTGTTTTTAGGTTCTGTCAAAGAAAAGGCGCCATCGAAGTGTATCTTTAGGAGTTCACAAAAACTCATAAGGTACGAGTCTCGTTGCTTTATAAATCAAATACAGAAGTGATTTATTTCCCTTATAAATTTTGAGATTCAAACAGTGCCTAAATGTTGAATGTCATTGAAGTGATTTTATTTTTATTTTTAGACGTAGGGTTAATTACCTTTTATTGATTTGTCTTTTGGGGTTGGTTATTGGTGCTTATTGTATTTGTCATCTTCCTTGGCTCATTCCATAGATCTGCTGGGGATCCTCTCTATCAGAAGCCTCATGATCAACATCCACAAAGCGTGTGATTGGTCTGATCATTTCCTGGAGATGGTAGAATTGCAGCATCAAGTAGATAGGAGAGGTATATAGAAACTAGTTTTGTCTCATTGGTGTTGTAAGCAATTAGGCTACAAAGTTTCCCTAATAAAGTAGTCGACAAAAGTCTCGGTTAGTAATAGATCCCCTCCCCTCTATTTTTTCTTCTTTTTTATTTTTTTGGGTTCAATATGTTGTATAAAGTTAGCAATGAAGGTGGGGTGTGGTATGATGACCAACAGCTTGTATGTCTACAAAGTAGTTTCTCAAAATCCATTTCCTGGTTGTGGTGAAATGTATATATTTATTTGTACATTTTAATGCTATGTATGTTGGCTGGGAAAAGAGGTACATTTTGTGGGTATGCACTTCTGCATTTTGGGGAACTAAATATGAAAAAAAAAAAGAAGCAAAAACTAAATAAAACAAAAATGAAAAAAAAATTCAGTGTGTCTGGTTTCAGTTTTCTGAATTTAGTTATTTGAAAATTGATTTTTTTTTTTCGTGTTTTTTTTTTTTTAGTGAATATTTTTTAAATTTTAAGTAATTTTTTTATTTTTTTAGATGCACCTTACTTAGATGCATCTAAATAGTAAAACATTTTACAAAATTAATAAATACATAAAAATACGAAAAATGTATTGAATTTTCATTTTTATTTTTATTTTTTGGTATTTAGTGTATTTTTAAAAAAAAAATTCACAAATATTATACTTTTAAGTGTATTTATGTTAGGTGCGTATAAAAATTTTAAAAAAAAATTGTTAAAAATATTAAAAAAATTCATTGAAAACATTAAAATACAAAAAATAAAAATGTAGAATTTTTAAAAAATTGTATTCTGAAAATTAGAGTCAAATAAGCTGATTATTTTGTGGCCAATTCTCTTAACTAATATCCTTTTGTCATGGAACTAATTTATTGAAGCCTGAAAGTCCAATCATACAAGGGGCCTTGAAGGAAAAAATTAATGGAAGGCTAGTTTTTATCTTTAAGTACTCCCTCCGTCTCAAAATATTGATCTTTTTTGAGGAATTTAACTTTTTTTGATAGTATAATTATTGCATTTGAAAAAAGTTAAATTTTCAAAATTATCCTTTTGATAGTACATTTTTTGGGAATATCAATGTCATAATTGTACTTTTTATATTGTTTATTAATTTAAAAGAAGGGCAGAATAGGAAATTTACATTATTTTTGAAGAGGGACTAATATTTTAGAACAATGAAAAATGGAATAAGGGACTAATATTTTGGGACGGAGGGACTAATATCAATGTCATAATTGTACTTTTTATATTGTTTATTAATTTAAAAGAAGGGCAGAATAGGAAATTTACATTATTTTTGTACTTGATTTTTGAAGAGGGACTAATATTTTGGAACAATGAAAAATGGAATAAGGGACTAATATTTTGGGACGGAGGGAGTATTTATCATTTTAATAGAATTTTTTATACAAAAAAAAAAAAATGCAATTTTATGTTCAACAAAACACACTGCCAAATAGCTTAGCTCTCTCTCTCTCTCAGAAGAAAGATCATAAACAAATGAATCAGCTTGAAGCTTGGGTACATTTTGATAGTTGCTAATTTTTAAGTTCGAGTTTAATAAGCCAACAAGTATTTGGTAATTGTCTTATTCATCCAGTAGTGCAGGGTTGGCACTGATTATTATTATTATTATTATTACGCTTCATCAAACCATTTTCCCAAAAATATTTTCTCCAAGAAACTAATTTCAGCTTGAAACAAATGGAGAATTATTATTGGTTTTCAGCGGCAAGAGACTCAGAGCATTAAGGTAATAGAATGAATAAACTGATAGGAAACATGTCAATAGGGTGTATAACGAATCCTCGTGTCAAACACAGCTGTGTTTGGATCGATCTTTTTTCTTTCTTTTTTTTACCTCTTACAAATCCATTATTACAACACAACCTTAGAAAGGACACAAATATACCAGAAGCTTGGTTGTTAAATTGCTCACCATAAGCAAAGAAAGGCATAGACAGAATGAGACTCATATAATACAAGAGAATACTGTGCAAGGAAGAACAAACAGTTACCATAATTTCACAAAGAAGAAATATGTATATTACTTTAACTACCATTCAATAAGCAGTTGATGTCGTTGCTGAATTAGGGCACAGATAGCAATGCTAAGCCAACATTCTAAAGCCGTGAGGTTAGATATTTAGATTCGGTACAAATCTTTTTTCATTTGATTCATATAGAACATAACAGCTTCGTGCAGTTTCAAATCACCTGCATATAAACAAGAAGAGACCAACGTCAATTAGCTAACGATCTAATTTACACTATCAGTATGAATAGTGTAAAATAAGTTGAGAGAGAGTTGAGAGAGTGATATTGAAAATGAACACTCTGTTGTTGAAACTGTGTATTGAAACCAATTTAGAGGCTCCATAATATAGGAGCTTGATTACAAAACATCATTATGAGCTACTGTAATATAATAAAGAAAAGGAGGCCGAAAGAGGGCGGGCGGGCGGCCGAAAGCAGCGACAAGGAATATACATATTATAATATATTAAAGGAAAGGAATCAGATTATAGTATATAGCATATTATATTATATACATACTATAACATATAATTATATTATACATACTATATTATATACATACTATAACATATAATTATATTATATGTTAACAAATAGGATATCGCAAGTGTTGCTTGAAGACCTAGTTGGATTTAATTTGAACTTGTATATAAACTCCTTTTTGTTGATTTCAAAATATGTTGTGAGTATCCATTTTGGAGGTTTTCCCAAACATTGGAAGAGGCTCAAACTCAAATCCACGCCGTGAGGGAGGGGAAAAAAAAGAAGGATAACAAAACACATTCTATCACCTTATCCAAATATTACTTACTTCCTAAAGGAAGCATAAGCCGAATAAGCATGACTATATTTGGAACAATTCACCACATTAGTTGCTGCATTTGGATTGACTAAAGCAATACTACTAGCTAGACAAAATGGTGGAGACTAATATTCCCAAGCGAAACTTCCTTTTGACAACATGGCTAGACTTTGAAAATCACTCTCGTTCTGACTTATTCATGCCACAAGTGTACAAGACTTGAAAAGAAAACAAATTCCACAAGAGCTACTGCAAAGTTGTGGAAAGCCAAATATGTTGTGTCAAATCAAATCTCCGAGGTCCATCTACAATGCACAACAAATGGGGGACATGTAGTGTTTAGGGGAGCAGAGAGGGCGAACCTATAGGAATATTTCTTGGGGAAATTGTGTTTCAGTGGGAACAACTCGAAATAATTGCATTTTCATGGAGGTCAAAAGCCTCATGTTGCTCCACCACCGCTTACTCATGTGGATACTCATAGATTACATGATTCAACATTGGACAATTCTTTAATATAAGTATAAAACATGTAAGAGTTAGCTAAATGCCCGCTCTTCGTATCAAATGATACCAAAGATTATGACTTGAAACATATCCATATTGTCAAGTGACCCAAATGGCACCTATATAAAGCCAAAAATGTCTTAATTAAGACAACAGTATATGTCGCTGACACCGTCATTTCAAATATCACTCGAAAGAAATTGAAATTTAGAAAGAAGGAAAAAATTCAAGTAATAAGGTTACACTTAGCTGCATCCATTTCAATTAACGTTGCAGTTAGAACTTCAATGTTTTATTATTGCAACCAACTGCCAAATTGTTAAAAAAATCCAGTCTCAGAAAAAATAGAATAAAATAAATAAACAAGATTCACTTGGCGGTACTTTTTATCTACCATGGAGGCTGCAGTCCAAAAACTCAGTATCAAAAGAGGAAGAAATGGAAGTCATTTTTTATTCCCTTAATCTATGTTATTAGGTAAAACGCAGAAGGAAATGGAGAAAAACTCTTGGATAATGCATTACGGCCATATATAAATTATAATTTCTGTAAAAAATGAAGCCCTTTAAATGACTTCATTGGAATACAAGCCAATTTTATTGGCAGAATACATGCAAATTTTGAAGTTAGGCTTTATGGCTATGTTTAGCAAATCAATGTTTAGGAAGGAAGAATTGAATACATTACCAAGGGAAAAGATTATATCAAAGAATTTTCACATTTTTTTGTACAACAAACAACTAGTCATAAATACCTGTGTGCATCTGCTTTTTTAATAATTTTAAAGGCACAGACACCTAGTATTTATCAATTTGTTACCAAACAAAATGTATGACAGTGTTTTTTCTCCTTGATAACAATATGTATAGCTTCAAATGGGGCAAAGGGTCAAAAAGAATAATAATTTAAAATAAATCAACCCTATTGCAAAGTGCCAAGTACATAAAACAGTGAAAACATTATCAATTCCTACCTCTGACCAGAGTTCAAATGGACTTAACACCGCATAAGAACATGCTAACCTATACTTCCATCTGTTCAAATAATAAGATATGCACAGGAATCTTGAAACCATTTTAAGTGGACTCAGAACTCAATTTGCATACTTATGTCTGTATCAATTGATGTTAGCATACAAAGCTAAATCTAAAGGAGGGCACATAATTGAATTCAGCAATATTCATAGAAACCAGTGTATAATAATAACACAAAATAAATGGCCACGGCGTGAAGTATGTAGTTACCACGCTTCATGCCAACAGCTGATAGGGCATCATTAACAGGCTTCCACACCAGCAACTCCATCAAGTTCCTCCATAGCTGCAACCAAACGACAGTATGGAATATCTTTTGCCTCCTAGCATCAGTGGCCACCAGGGTAATATGGTACAATAAGCAAGATGCCCCTGTGTGGCTTGCCCCTACTACCCTTACAAATTGAAGATGCACATTCTACACAAAAAAAAAACAAAAACAAATACTAATCACATTTAATAACCAAAAAAATGAATCCCAACAAAACTTAAATTAATAGAATAGCTTTAGAAAAAGAATTTTGTTAATCAATGACATTGAATTCAAAATATGTGAGGCACTACCTTGTTGGGTGTGATACCCCTATCACCGTTCACACCGATTGTAATATATATGTATATATTTAAAAAAAAAAAAAAAAAAAAAAACTTGTTTTAATGCTGGCAAATCCAAAATTCCATTGGAATTTAGAACCTACCCAAAAGAAAGTATTATGTTACACTATCTATAGGGAAAACCCTAATTAATGTAACTCAGAGGTGAGGTTGTGTGTGTGTACGTGCGTGCGCGTGCATTGTTAAAATTGGCCATTCTCGGCAAGGTGATTTGAAAGCTAATGAGAGATCAAGGTCTGTATTCTTGCTTCATAAGAGAAAAAAATAAATAAATGATAAGTTACTAGTCACTAAAATATGC